GTTTAATGGGGCTATCCTGTATATTAAAAGAAAATCATTCAATAAATAACCAGGAGGAGCATTGGGAGAGACCTTCCCCAGAGTAGGGTCCTTTACCTCTTCACAAAACACTGAGGATTTTCTTTTTAATGTTAATTCTTGTCCTACTTAAGGACCCTAGTGGTGAAAATTTGGCAAACCCAGAGGTTTTAATGGCTCATTCTTGGCCAATCCAGCCAAATGGGGGACCTGGAGTCGACTATTTAGATCTGGATTAGACCATGAGAATGTCCATACTGGATCAGACCAATGGTCCATCTAGCCCAATATCCTGCTTTTTGACGGTGGCCGGTGTCAGATGCTTCAGAGGGAATGAACAGAACAGGGCAATTTCAAGTCACCCATCCCCTGTTGTCCTATCCCACCTTCTGGCATTTGGAGGTTTATGGGCACCCAGAGCATGAGATTGCATCCCTGACCATCTTGGCTAATAGCCATTGATGGACCTATCCTCCATGAACTTATCTAATTCTTTTTTGAACCCAGTTATGCTTTTGGTCTTGACAACATCCCATAGCGATGAGTTCCATAGGTTGACTGTATGTTGTATGAAGAAATACTTCCTTTTGTTTACGTTAAACCTGCTGGATCTAAATTTCATTGGGTGTCTCCTGGTTCTTGTGTTATGCAAAGGAGCAAATAACACTTCCATATTCACTTTCTCCACACCAGTCAAAATTTTATAGACCTCTATAATATCCCCCCTTAGGTTTCAGTGGTAGCGGTGTTAGTCTGTATCAGAAAAAAAAACCGAGGAGTCCTTGTGGCACCTTAGAGACTAACACATTTATTTGAGCATAAACTTTTGTGGGCTAGAACCCACTTCATCAGATGTATGAAGTAAAAGATACAGGAGCAGGTATAAATACATGAAAGGATGTGGGTTGCTTTACCAAGTGTTAGAACAGTCTAACGAGATAAATCAATTAACAGCAGGATACCAAGGGAGGAAAAATAACTTTTGAAGTGGTAAGAGAGTGGCCCACTACAGACAGTTGACAAGAAGGTGTGAGTAACAGTAGGGAGAAATTAGTATTGGGGAAATTAAGTTGAGTTTTTGTAATGACTCAACCACTCCCAGTCTTTATTCAGGCCTAATCTGATGGTATCTAGTTTGCAAATTAATTCCAGTTCTGCAGCTTCATGCTGGAGTCTGTTTTTGAAGTTTTTTTGTTGAAGAATTGCCACTTTGAGGTCTCCAAAGAAGATCGCAGCTGTACATTGAGTGTATGTTTTCAGAGAACTATCCACAATGACTCCAAGATCTCTTTCTGGGGTGGTAACAGCTAATTTAGACCCCATCATTTTGTATGTAGAGTTGGGATTATGTTTTCCAATGTGCATTACCTTGCATTTACCATCGCTGAATTTCATCTGCTATTTTGATGCCCAATGACCCAGTTTTGTGAGATCCCTTTGTAACTCTTCCCAGGCAGCTTTGGACTTAACTATCTTGAGTAATTTTGTATCATCTGCAAATTTTGCCATTTCACTCTTTGCCCCTTTTCCCAGATAATTTCTGAATATGTTGAATAGGATTGGTCCCAGTACAGACCTCTGGGGGACACCACTATTTACCTCTCTCCATTCTGAAAACTAACCATTTATTCCTACCCTTTGTTTCCTGTTTTTTAACCAGCTACTGATCCATAAGAAGACCTTCCCTCTTATCCCATGACAGCTTACTTTGCCTAAGAGCCTTTGGTGAGGGATCTTGTCAAATGCTTTCTGAAAGTCCAAGTCCACTGTATCCACCAGATCACCCTTGCCCACATGTTTGTTGACCCCCCTCAAAGAATTCTAATAGATTGGTGAGGCATGATTTCCCTTTACAAAAGTCCTGTTGACTCTCCCCCACCAAATCACGTTTATCTATGTCTTATAATTTTGTTCTTTACGATAGTTTCAACCAATTTGCCCATAACTGAAGTTAGACTTACCAGCCTGTAATTGCCGGGATCTCCTCTGGAGCCTTTTTTTAAAATCAGTGTCACATTAGCTATCCTCCAGGCATCTGGTACAGAGGCAGATTTAAGTGATCAATTACATACCACAGTTAGTAGTTCCACAATTTCATATCTGAGTTCTTTCAGGACTCTTGGGTGAATACCATCTGGTCCTTGTGATTTATTACTGTTTAATTTATCAATTTGTTCCCAAACCACCTCTAGTGACACCTCAATCTGGGACAGTTCCTCAGATTTGTCACCTAAAAGGAATGGCTCAGCTATGGGAATCCCCCTCACATCCTCTGCAGTGAAGACCAATGGAAAGAATTCATTTAGCTTCTCCACAATGGCCTTATCTTCCTTGAGTGCTCCTTTATCATCTCGATCGTCCAGTGGCCCCACTGTCTGTTTGGCCACCTTCCTGCTTCTGATGTACTTAAAAAACATTTTTTGCTGTCAGTTTTTGTGTCCTTTGCTAGTTGCTCCTCAGGTTCTTTCTTGGCCTGCCATATTAGACTTTTACTTGCTAAAGTTTATTCTCCTTTCTATTTTCCTCAGTAGGATTTGACTTCACACATTTAAAGGCTGCATTTTTGTCTTTAACTGCCTCTTTTACTGTACTGGTTAGCCATGGTGGCATTTTTGGTCCTCTGCTGGTTTTCGTTTGTTTGATTGTTTTCTTTTTAATTTGGAATATACCTTTAATTTGCGCCTCTATTGTGGTGTTTTTAAATTGTCTTCATGCGGTTTGCAGGTGTTTCACCCTTATGACTGTTCCTTTTAATTCTAATTTCCATTTAATTAGCTTCCTTTTCATTGTGCAGGGTTCCTATTTTTGACGTTAAATGCTACTATCGTGAGTTTGTTAGGCATTTCCCCCCTAAAAGAATGTTACATTTAATTACATTATGGTTGCTATTACCAAGTGGCTCAGCTAAATTCACCTCTTGGATCAGATTCTTTGCTCCATTCAGGACTAAATCAAGAATTGCCTCCCCCCTTGTGGGGTCCTGGACTAGCTGCAGAGGGGTGTAGAGATATAAAGTAAATTATGTGGTGACGTTGCACTCTTTATGATTTTATGAAAATATGCGAATGAGTGTGAATATAATGTAACTGGAATATGCTTCTTGCAAAAGGTCTCTTGTAAGGTATCATTACAAAGCTTATAATCTACTGAGTGTGGTCATCCTATTTGTATGTACGTATCATTCTTGTATCTGAAACTAGAAATAAGAAATATAACTCTGAGGTCCTATTGTAATTATGCAAAGTGTGGGCCATTAATGGTGGTTTGGAATTTTGATGGCTCCCATTAACTAGGACAATTGACTGTTGATGGCTCTGTTTACTTGTAAGTCTTCCTATACACCTGTGGGCTGGCAAGTGGGTAGTAAAGTCTTACAGTGACAGTGATCATGTCACCTGAACTGGAATCCATCTTTAACCTGGTGCTTTTCCATTTAGAGGGAGGGATGGGAACCCAGAGAGGGACAAAGGATTCCCACCTTGTGCAAAAGTTATACAAGGGGGTGGAACAGAACAAAGGAGGTTACAATCATGAGAAAGCCCCTAGCTACCACCTGAGCTGGAACAAGGGCTGTACCAGGGGAAAGGATTGGGCCCAGAGTAGGAAGGAGTCCAGACTGTGAAAAAAGCTTATTGAAACATCTCTGAGGGTGAGATTTACCTGTATTTAGTTTTCTTACTGTATTAGGCTTAGACTTGCATGTTTTATTTTATTTTGCTTGGTAATTCACTTTGTTCTGTCTGTTATTACTTGGAACCACTTAAATCCTACTTTTTGTATTTAATAAAACCAGTTTTTACTTATTAATTAACCCAGAGTATGTATGAATACCTGGGGGGGCAAACAGCTGTGCATACCTCTCTATCAGTGTTATAGAGGGCAAACAATTTATGAGTTTACCCTGTATAAGCTTTACACAGGGTAAAACAGATTTATTTGGGGTTTGGACCCCATTGGGAGTTGCGTATCTGAGTGCTGGAGACAGGAGCACTTCTTAAGCTGTTTTCAGTTAAGCCTGCAGCTGTTAGGGGACGTGGTTCAGACCTGGGTCTGGGTTTGTAGCAGGCTCGTGTGTCTGGCACAACCAGGCAGGGCACTGAAGTCCCAAGCTGGTAGGGAAAACAGGCTCAGAAGTAGCCTCAGCACATCGGATGGCAGCTCTCAAGGGGGGTTCTGTGACCCAAGCCATCATGTGGGTCTTGCTGTGTCCACCTCCAGAGCTAGAGGAGCACAGTGGCTTCATTAGCAGTGCTCCTTGCTGGTGATTCTAAAGCGTCTGTGACAAACGGGGCGGTGAATGATCACTAGTGGCCAAAGAGGCTAAAATCCATTAAAGAATTGTTAATGCTGCTCCTAAAACTGGATATTATGTCCCACCCCTCTGCCCGCTGACAGCCACTCCAGAGATCACATCTCACCACCGCACAGAACATGTCCTGTCCCATGACCTGGAGACAGCTATCCCAGAAATCACATCCCAACCCACCGCCCCACAGACCATGTTCCTTCCCCACTGCCCCAGAAACCATGGGAAGAGATCATATCCTCTTGTGCCATCCCAGAGAACGTGTCTCATCCCCCAGAGAAGGCCCCATCCCACCACCCTAAAACCCAGAGACCACGGCCCATGTCACCAACCTGGTGGTTACAGTCTTGGAGTGCCACCATCCTGGAGACTTTAGATATTCTGCTTTGGTGGAATTATAGCACTGCTTCCCCTAATCCAAAGGTGAGCATTTTTAACACTTTAAGAGTAGTCTAAATTCACCAGTAAAAAGCGAACAGTCCTAGAGGTTTTAACTGGAAGTGAACTGAAACCACACTGAAAATAAGAGGTCTTGCACCCCATGTAGTCGGGCTGGGAGCCACTGCCTTTGTATTCTGGCCTCTCTTGGACACAAGCGGCGTTGAGGAAAGGTGAAATGATAGCAATGCTTTGTCCTGCCTCTCATTCCCTTTGTGTTTGTCTCTTCTCCTGCCAGCTCACCGTCTACCTTGGGAAGAGGGACTTTGTCGACCACATAGATGTTGTGGATCCTGTTGGTAAGTCAGCCTTCAGTTTGGTTTAGTGCAATGTAACAGGGACTTGATTGAATTCACAGGGCAGACATGATGTGACTAGAAAACCCTGTGTGCTGGTAGAAGGTACTTTTGCTTTGTATTAACTCCAAGTACAGCACGTCCAGAACTTTGTTCTTTCATAACAGGTTTGCTGTATGTTCCAATTAGGCATCAGATTTAGAGGTTTTCCACAGGACCATGTTCCCTCCGTTGCTAATGGGATTTGTTCCAATGCCAATTTTAAGCGTGAGGAGAGAATGTTCTCTCCTCTAACTGCTAACTGATTGGATTCTACACTCCTGAGATCGAGCATTATTGTTACGGTAGCACCCAGGGGCTCAGGATAATGGCCCCACTGGGCAGGATGGTGGAAGACAGTTCATGCCTCAGAGAGCTCACATTATTATGCAAAGGCCCGATGCAAGTTGATTAAGTACTATTATTAAACACTTGGATTGCAATAAACAATAAGATCCAGATAAAACAATACAGTAGATGAACAATCCCAGCTGGCTAGAGGCTTCACAAGAGGCTCTTCAGAGGGGTTTGGAAGGAGACAGGGCAGAGGTTTATGGACTAGTTCTAGCCATAATGATGCAGACCCCTAGTGTGGACATGCAGTGCCAGCATAAAGAGGGACTTGCAGCTCATGGCCTAGACGGCCGCCTTGACACCACTTCAGTGCATCAGCAGCCTGGCTTTCCATTGCTGGGGCTGTGTTGTTGTGGCCACTCAGGCAGGGAGACGCCCGCTGCACACAAGCCCTCAGTGACCAGTCGTGCTCTCACTTATCAAAGGCGGTGGCAAAACTCCCCATGACTGTGGTGTCTGCAGGATCGGGCCATCGGTCGGTGCCAGACTGTGCTTCTGACCCAAACTCGGCAAGCAGAGACACCCAGATTTGGAGAACGCTTCCCCTTTAACTCCCCTCCAGTTGCAAATGAGCTGGTTTCTGTGTGTCTAGGCCGTGCACGTCCCAGGATAACAGCTGCACGAGCTCTGGGGGAGGGGGGGTGGTGGTGGTGGTTATTTTTTGTTTCAGACGTGACATTCCGAAAGCGGTTTCTGATGGAATAAGAGGAGTTCCGGCTGTCCAGCCGCTGCAGCCTAGTATCGCCCTTTGGAAAACAACAACGAACTTGCCGCGTTTTGGGTGCAGTGACTCTTTCATATCAGGATCCCCCTGGGGGCTTGTCACGTGTGCAGCTCACGTGCCTGTAAAGCACTGTCGGGATTACAACACAGCACACAGCCCCCTGGGCTGAAGTGGGCTCCTGGAAGGGTTTGACACAATGGGATTCTGATTTGTGGAGGGGGAACTAGTCCAGCTCCGTTCCCAGCAGAGTTCCCGGGTGACACTGGAAGATCATTTCCCAGGATTTTACTCCACATTATTTATTATTTGTATTGAAGTTCCACCCAGAAGCCCCGGCTGAATCATAGAATCATAGAAGATTAGAGTTGGAAGAGACCACAGGAGGTCATCTAGTCCAACCCCCTGCTCAAAGCAGGACCAATCCCCCAACTAAATCATCTCAGCCAGGGCTTTGTCAAGCCTGACCTTAAAAACCTCTCAGGATGGAGATTCCATCACCTCCCTAGGTAACCCATTCCAGTGCTTCCCCACCCTCCTAGTGAAATAGTGTTTCCTAATATCCAACCTAGACCTCCCCCACTGCAACTTGAGACCATTGCTCCTTGTTCTGTCATCTGCCACCACTGAGAACAGCCGAGCTCCATCCTCTTTGGAACCCCCCTTCAGGTAGCTGAAGGCCGCTATCAAATCCCCCCTCACTCTTCTCTTCTGCAGACTAACCCCAGTTCCCTCAGCCTCTCCTCATAAGTCATGTGCCCCAGCTCCCTAATCATTTTCGTTGCCCTCCGCTGGACTCTCTCCAATTTGTTCACATCCCTTTTGTAATGGGGGGACCAAAACTCGATGCGATACTCCAGGTGTGCCTCACCAGTGCCGAATAGAGGGGAATAATCACTTGCCTCGATCTGCTGGCAATGCTCCTACTAATAGGGCTCAACATGCCGTTGGCCTTCTTGGCAACAAGGGCGCACTGCTGACTCATATCCAGCTTCTCATCCACTGTAATCCCCAGGTTGGAGATTGGAGACATATTGTGCTAAGCACTAGACACACACGTAATAAGACAGCCCATGCCCCAAAGAGCTTAAAATTTAACCAGACACCAGCCCTGTTATCCTCTCCATTTCCCAGCTTGGAGACTGAGTGCAGAGAGATCCAGGGATTTGCCCCAGGTCACACGGGGAGTTTGTCACAGCCCGGAATTGAACCCACATCCCCTGAGCTGGTGCTACAAGACCAGCCTTCCTACTCCTGTCCCCGGGTAACATTGTCAGAAGTGACTTAGGCACCTACGTCTTTTGAAAATGGGACCTAAACCACATAGTCTCTTTTCAGAGTAGCAGCCATGTTAGTCTGTCTTCGCAAAAAGAAAAGGAGGACTTGTGGCACCTTAGAGACTAACCAATTTATTTGAGCATAAGCTTTCGTGAGCTACAGCTCGCTTCATCGGATGCAAATGTTCCCCATGCTGTGGCTGTCTCTCACTTGTCTCTGCCTGGGCCTGATCCCAACCCCACTGAAGTCCCTGGGAGCCTTTCCACTCCCTTTGCTGGGCATCGGGTCAGGCTGTCTGAGAATGGGAGGCAGCCATGGAGAGACTGTCTCTGTAGAAGTGCCAGTAAGGGAGGAGTGGCTAGCTCGGGGTTGCAAATCCGGCACAGCTCAGCAATAACCAAAAACTGTTACTGTCTGAGGGCAATTAAAAACAGAAGAACAACCAGACTGGCTCAGACCAAAGGTCCATCTAGCCCAGTGTCCTGTCTTCTGGCAGTGGCCAATGCCAGGTGCCCCAGAGGGAATGAACAGAACAGGGAATCATCAAGTGATCCATCTCCTGTCACCCATTCCCAGCTTCTGGCAAACAGAGGCTAGAGACACCATCCCTGCCCCTCCTGGCTAATAGCCATTGATGGACCTATCCTCCATGAACTTATCTAGGTTTTTTTTGACCCGTTAGTGTCTTGGCCTTCACCACATCCTCTGGCAAAGAGTTCCATGGGTGGACTGTGGAATTTCGTAATTCCCCTGTCATAAGAATTTAGCATCACAAAATCCAGCCCATAGTGGTACAGGATGGGGCGGTCCAGGGAGACCGAACTACAGTGATCACCAAGGGAGTATTGCCATCAAGGAAATAATAGGCAACAGTTTGGAATTGGCCTGACTGAGGGCTGAGTAGTCAGAGAGCCGGGAGCAGTGGTCTCTTGCTATGTGGCTGAGGTGCAACAGGGCCTGGAATATCGTGCTTGGACCCAGGTACCACGTTGGCAGAAATATATTGCCAAATGGGTGGGCATGCCGAGAAGAGCAACAGAAAGGATCAGGAGAAAGGAGGGCTCCATTTATAAGGAGGTGCCATAGGGTGACTGGCCCCTTGAAGGGGAGATGGGGCCAGCCCTACCTGTCCCATAATTAGTGGTCTCCCAGCTTAAGAGGGCAGGACTAATAGGGTCAGATAACAGCCTGTAAAACACCTGAGTGGAAAGACTTAAGGGATCCTGAAAAACTTAAGGGAGCCCAGAAGACAAGCAGAAGAGGAGCCCAAGTGGGCAAAAGACCTTATTGTTTGTTGGACTTCGGTTACCCCAAAAGGGGACTGGACTTGGAGCTGCCCAGCTGGTGGGATGAGCCACATGAATCCCTGAGAGATGGAGCACTCTAGTGATGGGGAAACTGAGGCAGGCTGCTGCAGCGCCACCGTAGGCCACAAGGGGGTGCTCAGGAGGTGGCTACCCGGCCATGGGAGGACAGATTAAAAGAGATGACAATGTGCAGCTTGGCAAAGTGACCGCTAAGGTGGGGAAGCAGAAGTCTCCAAATACTTGAAGCCTGTGAACAGCAGGAAGAGAGGAGAATGACTGAGAGTGGTACCTGGAGGTAGAACTGAGAGGAGCCGGGTGAAATTAAGGCCCAGGTTCAGCAAAGCACTTAGACACCTGCTTGAAATAAATGGGACTTAAAGCACATGCTTAAACTCAGGCACATGCTTAAGTTGCTGCATCTGAGCTTCAGAAAGGAAAGATTGTGGCTGAATATCATCACCTGCCCTTAGCGTGAAGGCCATGAGTCAGCTCCCTGAAACCACCAGCCTCTGGCAGCCAGGCCCCCGCAGGCCTCGCCCTCTCTGCACCGGGCAGTGAATGGCACACGCCAACGCCCGCGGCCTCGGAGCGTTCCCTGCAGTGCCCAGCCCCTTCTCACTGGACACTCACAGAACTACCAGGCCGGCTGTTCCCAAAGGAACAGGACGCACCAGCTTGTAAGATTCAACCTGGAACCGGCACTTTGCTCCACACCACAGCCCTGAGCTAGATGCACAGTGAAAACAAGAATACGTTTATTGTCAAAGACCAGAGATTCAGGAGCTAGTGTATAAGGATGTTGGAAGCCAATGGTTACAACTCAAACAAAAACATGCTTTCTAGAGACTAAACTTAACTAACCAGGTTACCCTCCTATTCAAAGACGTTTGCTCCTCCAGAGTCCTCTTCAGTGTTTTCAGCCAAGGTTGATGGAGACCCTGCTTTCATGAATGCAAATGCACGGTGCCTTTGTAATGATGCTGCCTCTGGCAGGACACTTCTGAGAGTACCAATTCAGGACAAATTGCTGAGAGCAGGGCAGTTACAGCGCAGGGCTGGGGTTTCTATGCACACCAAGGCAAACCAAACCAGCCAGACAGAGAGGACTTTGGTTTTACCCCACTGGCTAACCACAAGTCACACAAGCAATTCCCTTAGACACTCCAGTTTCCCAGTATCACCACCAGGGCCACTCATTATGGGGACGAATGGTTATGAAAACCAATACCCCAGTAAAAGAAAAAAGTTCTCCTGATCCCAAAGGACCAAGCCCCAGACCCAGGTCAATATACAAATCAGATCTT